TAATTAAGTAGTTATTAATTATATTAATTAATAATTACTTATGGCTTTAATAAATGAACGAAAATTTAATATGTACTTATTTTTTCTTAATTATTAAATGATTATCTATAAATTGATTTAATTATAATTAATATGATAATATATTTATTAATAATCAAGTTAAATAATAAACTTATGTTAAATTAAATTAACACCTCAATCCTATCTACCCCTTCCCTCTCTGGCCGAAACTCTTGCCCACTTCACTCCCCCTCTCCTCGTCCCTTCCCTCTCAACCCAAAAACCTCATCCATGTCCCTCACCCTCTGTCGGTTTCTCCCAAAACCATTGTCTTCGTGAACCAACTCACGAAACAATCGCTATCAGAGCTAGTTGAGAAGGCAACGACGGGATTGCGGCTTACAGAGACCACCGAAACTCTCATCTTTCTTATCCTTCCGCTCTACTTCTACCAGGAACCATTAATGAAGGTAAGCCTGTTCGTGTCATTCTTCCTCTTTGCTCTTTTTGGATTTTACTAAATCTGTCAAACAACAAGATTTAGTAAATTTGAGATTTACAGCCAAAATCCATGAAATCCGGATTTATCAAATCTACAGCTTTATTTTGTCCAAACTGACTGTCTGACAATATTTATCCTAAATTGATGTTAAATTATGGTCTAAATTAGTTGCTAGACAACCCCTTAAAATTAAAATTGAGTGGTTGAAGCTGAAGAGTTTTTACAAAGAAACCTATAATGTAAAGAATATCTTGAAAACTTAGTTTGATTTATACATGTTAATTAGACCACTATTCCATATGAACCCAAGTCTTGTGCTTCAAAGAACTCCTTGACAACTATATTAATTGTGATGGAAATGAGAATGTATGCTGGATGTTTGGTAATACTGGGAAGGATGGCATTAGAAATTATTATGCACCAAAAATGGCGAGTCTGGTGTTTTTAAATCAAAAAATTTGATGAGGAATACTTGTTTGTTTTAATGCTTGAAACTCAAAACGAAGCTAAAACGTCAAAATGAAGCGGCATTTTATTAACTTAAGATTAATATAAATATAAAATTTAAGAACTTAAAAAATTCCATAACAAATTTAATGGGGAAAAATTTTAATTTAATAATCATATTTATTTCAGCACAAATGCTACATTAAAATGATTAAAATCTGTGTCATAAAACAATGGGAAATTCCATGTCATCTTTTCTTTCATTCATTTAAGCCTTCTCTCCTTTAGGAAGATTTTCCTCATCTTTAAAATCTTCATTACCATCAATATTTTATTCTTCTCCAAAGTTAATATCATTTTCCTTTTTTGAGTAGTGATAATAGTAGTTGCAAGTTAAGATGAACTTGAACCCATTATGGACGAATCGTTTGTTTTTGACCTGCTAAATTTTATAAATCTCCTTGAATCAACCTCTCATAATGTGGCTTCAATTTTTCTCCTAGAATACAACGCTAAAACATTTCTGCTCAATATCCTTTACGTCCTAACTATCCAATCGTAACTTCCATCAACACAATCCAGATTAGTTGAATAAATATATTCTCTCAAATTAAATATTATTTTTCTAAAGTTTACTGTAATTAATAAATAATAAATCAATTTGACACTCCTGATGCAACCGATTTATTTTCTTTGATCCAACTGATTTATTTTATTAGTGTGAATTTGTAGAAATGAAATCAAAGAAAAATTAAAAGACAATTGTATTTACTTTTGTGTGTATAAAATTATTGGCCTGTTCAAAGATACTCCATTTCCTCTGACAGTGATGCTGCAAATGAAGTACAAAATCATAAATGATTTATAAATCATTCATCACTCTGCTATAAATTACAATATTGCATTCAAGCAAAAGAAAAAAATGTATCAAGTGAAAAAATAACAATTTTTGTAATATTAATTATACTTGGACTTGTCAAATTTTTTCTCAGTTGTGGAAGGCTAACTTCGTTATAAATAGGTTTCCAACATGATTGCAAATATAGGGAGCCTGATCTATAATCATGCTCTCGTTCAAGTTTCTTCAATTAGCTACTAATTATGTATAATATCTCCATCAATTGTCCATCTACTTTTATTTTTTTTATTTGTTTTATACATCAAATTTTAGATTTTGATAACAGCTGATTTGTTGTTATTTTTTTGGAGGATTTGTCACCTATATCTATTATCAATGATACGAAAGAATTTTTAATCAAAACCTCCAAAGACACCACAAATTTCATCATTCATCTTCTCCATTGCTTCATAAATGTAATGCATAGCTCTTTTGTCACCATGGATTAACATCAACATCTTCACCAATAGACTTGTAACTTTTAAAGCTTATGTCACAATTTCTAAATATTATCTTTAGAATCACCTCCTGCTTAGCTTTATTTTCTTTGCAATTAACACTAAATATGGTCTTCTTCCAAGCTTTAGAGATAAACATACATGACTTCAAATTTTTAATTTTTATTTTTATGCATGCTTGCAAGAATGTCAAAAGAAGTAGCAAAACTATTTGTACTCGATTTCATCAATGTTGCACCTCTTGTGTATTTCTTTATATCAAAGAATAAACCCATAACTAATTATAAAGTGAGCTAACTCTTTGAATTTCCTAACTGTGCTCTTCATTTGATAAATCTTTTCAGTATCTTCTAACATCAAATATATGTAGTGGATTGCACACGTCATCTCATGTTGGCGTGTTTTCTTGTTCATAAGCATTTGACCTAAGATGTAGTTTTTTTCAAGGATTTTTTATGCGTTCAAAATGTATACAAAATAAATATATACAAATAAATACTATATATATAACAAATTACTAATACATATAAATCTTATTGAGTGTTTTTTTACGATCACGTCCATCACATTCTAGTCGCTGATATTTTCAATTTGTGTGTCAAGGAACTCGAATAATTTTGATCCTTTCTTCAAATAATCATATGCAGCAAGAACATTATGCTTGATGGTGGATTAAATATGGAGAAATTAAAGAAAAAAAACTATGAAGAAATTAATGACTTATTTAAGAACATTTTTCTTTGATGGTGATGCAGGAGCTTCTCGCAGTGGCGTTGTTGTGAACCTTGCTACAATACTGCTACAGTACCACGAATTAGATTAGATGCGAAAAAGCTCCTAGCGACATAGGACCAATTAGAACAGCGAATTGAGGCTCGGACGACCTTCCTTAACGTTGATTTGGCGCCAGTTGGCCCAATCATAATTACTTAGGGCTTACATATTTGATTTTTGTGTTTAGGTTTTTAGTTTTTGGCTTGAGTTTGTTCAGCAGCCGCTGGCATCCGTTTCCTCTCTTCGAGGGCTGTGTATGAAGGATTGGGTGGTGCTCCCGCTGTATCTCTCTTGAGGTGGTGATTATCTTCCCCTATCTGCTTCCTCATCCTTCCACATCGCTCCCGACCACCTCTTCCTTGCTGCAACTTCTCGGAGCAACCTCTTTTTGCTGTTTTCTGCAGTTCCTGCTTTCTAGCTACCTTCCCCATCTCTTGACTGTTGTTTCAGCCGCCCACATCCATTTCCATCGCCGCCTCGCTGCCATTCCGGCCATGAGGAATGCCCCTCTGCAGTCTTTTCTGCTGTTCCAGCTGTTCGAAACTACTTCCTTGCCACCTAGTAATTGTCCCAGTCCTTCCCACTTTCTGCCACCGCTAGTCTAGTCCTCCGTAGTCTCTTCCATCACTCTTCCAACATCTTTGCTGCTAGTGCTGTTCCAGCGCTGCTATCATCATGGACATCCATGCAACGTTGTTAACTGCTGTCCGGAACCCAATAAACTATTGCCTGGCTGTTTTCTGTTTGCCAACCACCTCATCCATCATCCCGCCACCTTTCAGGACCTCTCCGATCACCATCACCCCGAGATTGTGCTGTCTGTCATGCTTGTTGTTGTTTTTTTATTCAAGTGTTTTGGTCGTAAGTGCCTATTTGCTTTCAGTAATATGTGATTTTCCTATTTTGGTTGGGTTAATTAACTTCGGTATTAGATGGTGAATTAGCTAAGAATAAATTAATTATTGACCACTCTCTAAGAATGCAACCCATGTCTTTGCAATTTTTGTCCATGACCCTCATCCTTTTGACATAGTAGTGACAGCAGTACCGACGGAAGATGGAATTGTGTTATTTCTATTATCTGTTTCAGTATTTTCATCAATACAATTTCATATTATATATATGATGTAAACAAGCTACAACCAAGAATTTTAATTTATTTTCCGGTTCATGATATGGTAGTATCAGCTTCTTAAAACCTCTGTTCAAGTTTAGAAATATTCTTGATATTTATGGCTTCTGCCAGATATTATAGACCAACCGAAAGTCCCATCATCATGAAAACCAACAGAAGACTGTTGATTGGGACTTTAATGGAATATCAGACAGTATGGATATAGTTTCTGTATAATCTCTCATATCCCTCATTGATGAGGCTTCGTTTAGTGAGGATGCCATTTTTTTTAATGAAATTCCACTTTAAGTCTGTTAGAATTTTGCAACATATTTTGCTTTTCTACTGACCCTCCTGCTGGATGGCACCATAAATATTATTTCCATTGTTCGGGCACATCTGTGTACAATAAGATTTACATACATACCAGTTAATTCTTATGTATTTACATATCTAACACCTCTTACATAGATGCCAACTGTACCTATGCATGAATAGGTGGTATATCACTTTTTTAAAGTTAAAATAGTGAAATTTTTTATGTGATTCAAAAGATATGGTGGTATAGATATAAAAAGTAAAATTTAGGTGTTAGATATGTAAATACATTGGAATTGGCGGTATGTATGTAAATGAGATTGAACCAATATTTTTTTACATTATTGATCATCTCCTTGAACTGGTTGTCATACTGAGGAATTGCGATTATAGCAGAAGTGCATGCCATTATTTGTTTGGGTGATTCTATGCTCATCGTATTCTGAACAATGGAGAAATTATCTTTCGCCTTTATTCTGTATTCTGCAGTTGTGATGAACGAGTTCAGAAGATCCAAACTATTAAAATGTTGGAAGGCATCTTCATCTGTGCTGCTCCTCACTGCCTGAAATCATTCCTCAAGAAAGCTGAATTTGAATCTCATGTCCATGATGCCCATGTTGATCTTCTTCAACCGAATGTGGAGAAGGAAGGAGGCAGCGAAACTAATAATTTGAATGTAATGAGGCCTACTTCGGCAGATTTACAGAAACAGTCATCGTTGCCGGAAGCCTCTACTGCTCGAGCTCCACCTAGGTCCACTTTTTCCCCCAGTTCGAATTCTCAACCTCCGGATCGCGAAGATAGAGTCCACCACCTTCCATCCAGAGATCAGTCATACCCTAGACCTCCACAACTACGACCACTGCCTTTTCCTTCTCAGTCGAATCAGCCAGGTGAGGTTCAGTCAGAAAGCAATGTACCTCAAGTCTCTGATCGGCCGTACAGCTGGTTCCCTTCGCTACAGCGCTTCGACGGCAACCAAGGAAGCACGCCGTGCCCACAAGATACCGACCAGTTTCCTTTAGGAAGGAGTGCCCCGACTCCCATGGAGTCCATGTTACCCAACCTCACAGCTCAGCTTCCTCACCATTCGGGCTTCCCAATGCCTGGCAACCCTAATCAACCTCTAATCTCAGCTGCGTTTAACTTCCCCTCATTCCCGGCGGATGGATCTCAGCCATTCTTTGGTGCTCCATTTGACATGCCGTGCCCTGAATCTGCTCCACCAGATGGAGGATCAGAGCAAGGATCGGTGTTAGGGATTCCACCAACTCCTGCAAGAGTAACAGGCTTTCGAGAGAATTATCCTCGACCATGGGGCACGGATCTTATGAGCATGCCTTTACAACCCATTCCTATAGTTCAAGCGATTCCCGAGGGCTTCGTGAACCCCTCAGATGCTCAGGGAGGATTGGCATTCTTCCAAGGCGATTTTGGTCAGGGCGTCCTGCCGAACTCTGTTTCAGGTAAGGAATCAGGGCAGCAAAGTGTTTCTGGTAATCAGATTGATGGGAAGAGTCTGCCGCCTTCTTTACCAGGGCAAATCCAGAGCTCTCGTCCTCTTCCACCTCCACCTCCTCTACCTCCACCATTATCACTGCAGCTTAATAGAGCAAGATTCTCAAGCTCCGGTGATGCGAACAGGGAGGGCCAAAGTATTGGTTTGCAGAATGAGAAAGTGAGGTTTGGGAATTGGCCAGATTAGTCTTTGTTGCTATTCTATAAAACTGATACTTTATTTAAAATTTTTCATGTAAACTAATCTTTAAATTTTGCCTGCATTCTGATTAATATCTTTTGCTTTCAATGCGGCAGCCATTATTTTTGTGTTGGTTTAGCCAAGTAGGGGGCCCTTTTATATTTAGCCATGCTTCATGGTTGCCCACATATAAGCTGAGCTTTAAGAATATTATTGCATGGTATCATTTATCAAGCTTAGAAAAAGCTCATGCTGGGTTGAATCACTCTCGACTCGAGCATTTTGCAGTGAGTTGAGGAATCCTTTGCTGATATTGCAGTGAGTTGGAAATATTAACTTAGGGACCTTTGGAGGTCTGCCTTTTGTAATTGGCTGAATTTACATTATCATTTGCTCTGTAATTGCTTTTATTGGCTCTGCTATTCGAAGTGCATCTATCGATAAATTTGAGCTTACATTCTAATGTTTCACTATTGCTGGCGAGCATTGAAAATTTGTGTCAACTTGATTGGTAATACTAAGAAGTCATCCATCCTATATCAAAACATTAGTAATAGGGCTTTCCCACTAGCCATCCAAATTAACTTAAGGCTATACACATAAAAAAAAAACTCTCCTAATTCCTCCATGTTATCAATGTCATCTTAGATCAATAATCCAAGCTTATTTTTTCTTTATAGAAATTAGTGCAATTGAGTTTTTCTTTGCAGTGGTAGCGAAGGCTTTTTCTTTTTTTTTTTTCTTAATCATTTGTGTTCTATTTAAATTTTGGGTCAATTAGATACATAGCTTGTATTAGTAATATTTTTATTTACAAATGTAGCGCCCTCTTTCAACTATTTTTCAAATGGAGAATTTACATGCATACCTACTATTTCCTTGCTTGTCACGCCAAGAGGGCTCTCCTCTTCAAGCTTGGACAACCTTTGTCAAGCCCTCTTCATTATACTCTCCAAACAAAGCCCAGGGCTGTAAACGAGCCGAGCTTGAGCGAGCTCAGAGCGTGGGCGAGTGCAGTCTTGGCTCGTGTGCGGCTCGTTCGAAATAGCTCGTGTTCGAAATTGGCTCGTGAAAAGTGTGTTTGTGTTCGGCTTGATTTAAATATTTGTGTTCATGTTCGGCTCGTGTTTGACTCAAAATTGGCTCGTTAAAATTAAATTGAAAAAAAATAGATGTAAAGTGTAGGATTTGAACTTGGATCAAATATATACAAAATAAGAGACTAACCACATTACCACATGAAATGTTATGATTTAAACTTAGATATTAATATATATATAATATTATTATATAAATAATTATATAAATTTTTTTGAGCTAAAATGAGTCGAACATGAACAAACAAAGAACTATTTGCGTTCGTCTCGTTTACTTAACGAACGAGTCGAACACGAGTTATTTGCGAACAATGAGCTTTTTTGACAGCCCTAACAAAGCCACACTCCACACCTTATGCAGTCAGGCTATCGGTGAAGCTTAATTTAGAACCAAGCAACCCCTCTCCTTTGTCTTCTTGGCTCACTACACCGTCGAAGCACAACTTTTCCAAGCATATTGCCGCCAACTTTTTCGACTAGTCTTATGACTATTTCTCAGACTGGTTATGGAGCTTCTAAAGCTCTTTTGTTTAGATTTACTCCAAATGGTTTATTTGGTCTTATGGAGAACTCATGTATGCAATCGACTCTCTCCTTTAAAGTTGCTTTGGCTAGATTTAGATCTACTATTCTTTCTCAAAGGTAGATTTAGGGTCTGTTTGAGGCAACTGGAGCTTAATAATAAACTGTTACGGATAAGCTAACTGTCTGTTTATTTTTAGCAATTTGAAAATAGTTGTGTTGCAACTGTTTCTGAACAAATGATCATTCTGCCCATATATAGTAATGTTGTATGTAACAGAATTGTTCATATCAGTACATTTCATACTTGAGAGCAAATATTTAGTACAGAACATCACAAATCAAAGATAAATATCTCACTAAACAGTGAGTAGCATGACTATCAAAATTAAGAAAATGACTATTAAAATAACAAATTAATAATATAATATTATTATTTTTAAAATGCAGAAGATGTATGTCGCGAGATAAGCCGTCCTCCAATGTTACTTTCCACATCATCTAAGCCATCCTCCAGTGTTACTTTCCAATTAATCATAAGCAATTGTCAAATTAGAAACCACAAAATTCTCGAGTACAGTGGGCATAAACCAACAAGAAGGGGAACCACCGCACAAAGGAAATCACCAAATTCTCAGGCATAAAGCCTTTTTGCAAAATCAAAAGCCACAGAAAAGTTCGGGTACAAATTACCCGGCATGAAGAAAAAGCATCGCACAAAGAAACCACCGCAAAGAGGAAACCATGAAAATCTCAGCCATATATGCATTTCCAAAAGCAAAAATAATTTCATAATTAAGGTATGGATTACCCAACAAGAAGAGGCACCACAACACATAAGAACCACCACATAGATATATCACATCACAGAGGAACCACTACACAGAGAAAACACAACACAGATAAACCACCACACAGATAAACCACAACACAGAAAAACCGCCGCACTCACAAACCACCACATGAAGACGAACCACTACACTCGTAAAGAACTGCAGAGTAGATAAAGGAGAGAGAGAAGAGAACTCATCGATAAAGGAAACCCCATCTGTGAGAAGCGAGAGAGAGAGAGAGAGAGAGAGTGTGAGAGAGAGAGAGGATTGTGGGAGAGGAGTGGAAAGACACGCAAGAGAATGAATCATAGTGAGGAGAGGTGCATCCCCGTCAATGATATTCAAAGGAACATAGCCCGAGGCCGCATTTCCTTCGGCTTTTTGTAAAAAGCTAGCACGCTGTAGTATCCAAAAGCCTTCGACTGGAATTTCCAAGTTGTGTCACAGTCCTGTCGTTGCCCCAAGTAGGGCCTTAGAATCCTCTTCTTTTAGTGCCTTTAATAAGGATATTGAGACACTTGCAACATCATTTGAGTTTACTTTGTTTGGTAAATTCTCTCTTAGCACCTATTGATGGTTGCCACTTGAACTTTCTTCTTTAACTTCAAACTTTTGGCCCCATTAAGCTTATCACAATTTAATTAAGTTGGAAAATAATTTAGACTATAGAGTTTTTATTTGAGGCTTATATTATATTCTCAACTGTCAAATATGTTTATTTAAATAAACTCTTTATTTTGATATTAAGGATGTATCTTCTATAACCCCAAATTGGATTTCATTTCTTAATATGAAATTTTACTTGATCAATTATCAAATTTTGTATGTTCTTGCTTCCATCATTGGTAGGCCTTTACAAAACGATTTTGCCATCAGTGAGCATACTTGACCTTCTATGGCTCATGTTTTAGTGGAAATTGATGTTTCAAAAAATTTGTCTAATAAAATATGAATTGGATTAGAAAAACATGGATATTCTTAAAAAGTTGAACTTTAGAACTTAATTTTGTTCCGTTCTCATTATAGGATTAATAATCATTCAAATCTTCAATGTTTCATTTTGCATCCACATCTTAAAATATAATATTAAAAATATTACGAAAACTAATCAAAATAGAGCTATTGTTGATTGTGAAATCCCTACTTTTGGTTCTATTAAAAATTCATTTATCGAACTTAATCAACCTAATCTCGTATCAGCTAACATCAATGAAAAGGTCAACTCTGTTCCTAATTCTTTGGATTTGCAGAATGAACCAATACTAAATCTTGTACTTTTTTTTATCTAGAAAGGGTGGTAACAATAATTTGGCTTTTTATAATACCTAACCCAATCCAAATCAAGAAGGTAATTCACCTCTAGCTGATAGGGACCACATTATTGGTAATGATGAATCTTCTCGTCCTATATTGGTTGTTAATAATGAGGATAATGACTCACATTGTTTAGACTCTAATGTTGACCCATGCACCATTGTTTATCAAACTAATCAACCCAATTAACAAAATTTACCTATTGAATTACTCTCATGAAGTTCTAAAAATATTCCAAATCCTCATATCGAACGAAGCTTAAATAATGATTTGGAAGGATGAGAAGTTAAATCTAACAATAATTCTATTGTTTCTAATTTAAGCACCCAAATATCTCTTCTATTTGCTATTCCTAATGAAGATATTGATAATGATGAATACAAAGTTGTTATTAGAAAAAAAAAAGTTCTTTAGCTAATCAAGGAGCTTCCAAAGCTCCTATTACTATAACTCTTATCCTAATTAATGCTTAGTGATTTATTTTGGAATGTCATGACTGGATTCCCTTCTACTTGAAATTGGATTAAAAATCTTTATAGATTTATAATATGTATTTTATCTTTATTTCTGAATCAATGGTTATGAATGATAAACTTCAACGAATCTGATAATCTTAGTTTTCAAAAGTTTTGGTAATGAGGTGAATAAAATTGGGATCTTTCAAAATTATTGGTTAAATTTCTCCATCATTAATGTTCTTCCCCAATTTGTTAATGCTAAAATCTCTTTCAACAATTATAATTTGGCATGTTCTTGTGTTTATGTTTCATGTACTAAAATAGGTCATCAACCTTTATGGGATCAATTGAAAGAACGTTCTTATCCCTCGGAGTGTCTATGGGTTGTAAGTGAAGATTTTAATACCTTTCTTAACTCTTCTGAAGGGAAAAGAAGCACTTTACCCAATTCTAGATTTATGGATGACTTTGATGAAGCTATTAAGGATTGTACTCTTCATATTTGGCTTTATTGGTTCTCAATATACTTGGAATAATAAACATTTATGTCAAAGGTTAGTTATAATGTTTTTCAATAATAAATAAATGGAAAATTTTCCTTTTCTCCTAGATATAACATTTAAGAAAAACTCATTTTGGTCATGCTCTTTTACTCCTTGTAATTTGAGATATCAATTCTATTCAGAATCATTCTTTTAGATTTCAAAATAAGTGGTTATTGGATAATGATCTATTTGAATGGTTAAATCTAATTGGCATACCCCTTCGTAATGATCAACTTAGTGGTATAAACAGAATGTGGTTTAAGCTTAAATGGCTCAAATAAGTTTTAGATTGGTGGAATAAACTTCACTTTAAGAACCTTTTCTCTAAATTTAAAGAAGCTGAATTAAAAGTGATTCAATTAGAAGAAGCTTTCTCTAGCTATCAATCTGTGCACAAATTAATGGTTATTAATCAAGCTAAAGTTTCTCTTAATTAACTTCAAGATAT